AATTTTGTAAAGCATGTCGCGATAAACATAATTACTGGCAGACTTTCCAAAAAGACGCCTCTACGTTGAGCTGAAAAATTTAAAGACAGGTGGTTTTATTGTTCGAGTATAGAGTTGGTGCACCATATATAATGTGTTAAATCTCGAATTTGGATAATAAATATAATCATATTCTTTACCATCTTCTTCTTCACATGGAGTTACAAAAATATCATCCATTTTAGCTTTTAAATCGCCTCGCCAGAAAATTTATTATTTTTTTTTTATAATTATTCCTGAAAGATTTTAATACGTAATATAGAATCTATTTGTTCGGGTGTAACGTCATCATCAAATCCGATATCAAACTCAAAACGATTAAATTTATCTCTCGATCCTTTATGAAATATACGCTTTGTTTTACAACAGCGACATTCTATTCCACAAGGAGTTTTATCATCATTAACTTTTCTGTATTCGATTATATAATCAAATCTTCTTTCCAAAGCAGAGTAATTTTTTTTTTGTTTTTAATACCATCGATATACTAATACGGGAAATCTTTATCACATTTGTATAAACTTTTAAGTGGATTATTTGGGTAAAAAAAAATAATACATAGGAGCGTAATTTGCATGATTGTTTTTAACTTCTATTGAAAAAAATCCGGTATCGATCAAAACTAAAAATCTTTCCCATTAAACCACAATCCATTGATTTCGTTAAATATCACTACTTCATGATTGTTAAAATTATTAAACCATTTTTCATTAGGTATCTTTTTATATAATTTATCTTTTTTTTTTAAAATTTTTGAATATTATATCACCTAGTATTAGATAACTTTTTCCGGTTCCGGAATCACCCCAGACGAAAATATTACACGGTTTCCAACAACGCTGATTTTTCTTCTGTTTCAACCTTATAGCGGCTTTAGCAAGCTTATCCATAAATAATGGATTAGGGCCAAATGATATTTTCTTTGATAAATCAAAAATAACTTGATTAGGGTCTTCTTGATTACGGATTCTTTCTTGGTGTTCCAAAATTATTTCCGATTGAGATCAGAGTTATTTTGATTATTTTGTCTATAACTGGAATGATATCGACCAAATTCGAAAGGTCCCGAATTTTCTTCATCGAATCGAGCAGGTGTTCGTTGCGAACAGCATTCTTGAGTACAAACTGAACATTCATCTAATTCCAATTCTTGATAACTACATTTACATTTATCTTTATGTATCGCACATCTATTGAAATTCTTCGAAACATATATTATGGCTTTCTCAGGATAATTAGCTAATTGGACATTGATAGAACTTAATTGGAATATATTTTTTAACAAATTTATCAGTTGGTCTATATTTAACACCAACACGTGCTTGTTTTTTAAGAACAGCAAAATCTTGAACATGTCTTCTACCGGTATCGGGAGCTCTTTCAATTTGGAACTTTACATAATGAAATGGATTTGGATAATTATAAGGATTTTCATCACCGAAATGATTAGACACCACTGTATATATTTTATCAGGTTCTACATTTTCAATAAATTGAAAATGTTGAAGTTTAGTATCAGCAGTAATTTTCATTTTTTTACGGATAATAAGTAATAAAAAGGTACTTATATAAAAATTTAAGTGATAAACAAATCAAAGTGATAACTTTAAACATAACTTTATTATGACCAAATGATACAGTACTTTAAAATAAATAAGTGATATTCTAGTATCGTATGTTCGCTACACGCTCTCATTTGATAATAATTCAAATAAATATTTTTAAATAATTTTTCATTATTGACAACTAGAACTTTAAACATTTTGTTAATACAATTCTAAATTCGACGATCAAAAAACGCAAGTTTCAAGTAGATCAAATTCTTATCGTTTTATTTGATAAAGAAACAAATAATTTTATGTTAAATTTTAAGAATAATACAGAGAATTAGTAACAATATTATAATCGATTTTTATTGAATGCTAACTGATATTGAATCAAATCCGTGTTTCTGCTAGTCTTTCAGTGGGTTTAGCGTATTTAGCAAATGGTAAGTAAGCCTATTTAAGATATGTGGTCTACTCGAACAATAGCCTATTGTTTCTCATTACAATATTAATATAGAACTGTAATCTTATAAAAGTAACGACCTGATACGACACATAAACCACAACATGAAGTATGCAACGAATATATTAATTTTATCGATCAAACTTTGTATCATCTAAGGGTGGAGGTAGCAGTAGTAGCCGTGGCAGCAGCCGGGGTGGTTATTATGGATATGGTTCCAATATTTTGGTATTATGAAACTCGATCGTGCGGTAAACTTTCGACCATGTTAGGCACCATTATTCTTACAGTAATTGGGTGTATGCTCTATCGATGTATTCGGTCCCACAAATCCAGCCAGAAACACGCGCGTCTTTTCGCTTCAGAAATACTTACTATCAAAACCATATGGATAGCTGCTCGCCATTGTTGTCACTCGTTCGTTCTTTTGATTTTTGGACAAGACACGTACCAAGTATTATAGTGAGTCAGTGGGCGCGTAAAAGGCAGTCACATGACAATGATTACATCATTCCTGTTGGCTAAAAACTTCGTGGCAAAATCAAGTCTAATTACAGTATATCCGTTTACGCAACAACAACGCTCATATAATTTGCTTTAATACTGTAATAGCAATAGCAATAGTGAGATCCCGTATTTCACGGTCGCTCCCACAATAGTTACCACCAGACAGAACGGTAGATCATTGTGACATCTTGGTAAATTCCCCCCTTCGATAGCATTATTGTGATATTGCCCTTATTTAGAGACGAGTATAGGTTTTACTTCATTTAGGGAGTAGGAAAGGCACGCAACAAAATAAGTCACTTATAAATTTAGTTCAGTCATAATCGACAATTGTTATTATTATTAGTAAAGGTAGCGATCTGAGCTAAGTTTGGTAACATCCCTCTGTCAGGAATGTTATTTCTTCAAAATATCAATCCTTTATATTAGAGGATCTTTGGAACACATTTAGTTTGCCGTTCATTTGCACAGCATGTCATTGGGGTTCAAGTTATTACTGGAAAACGTGCAGAATTCTACATACAGTACATTTCTTCCTAGTAATAGAAATCAGGTGATACCAATATAGAATTTACAAAGGTTGAACAATCTGACATTTATACTATCCTGTCGTTTAAATTGCATCCACTGCTGGCAACGGAAACATCATGTTGTTACATGATGAGTGTTCCATCTAGTGCATCATCTGGTCGCTGGATATTAGCACTTGTCCCTCTATCTTGACCAAGTCCATCAGTGAGTGGAAAATTGTCCATGTGCCGTTCTAACAGTCGATCTCCGACATATTCCATCTCATTATACATGATAAGCGTTTTCTTGCGACGATCTCGTTTTGTAATATGCCAATATGTTTTTAATAACAAGAGCAAAGAGCTCAAAGAACTTTTGAATCCTACCATTAATTTCCGCTCAATGACAAGAGACCAATCAGGCTGGTCTTTGACAATCTATATATTGAAAAAGAGGTACCAACTTCGCGTTTTATAATGATTGATCTACTAGTATTACTGTGTCTCCTATATACAGTATACTTTACTCTATTATCTTTTCCAAATCATTTATATGTTCTTAACAATTAGCAATTTCCTTTAAGTATTCTCTCTTTAAACTAATTCCTTATATGCCAGCTGCTAAAGAGGTTGAGTATAATCAGCAATTACCATTTCTTCAACGATTAGATTTAATTCAACAGGCGAGTAGAATTGTTTTCGTCCTAAATACTTTCTAATTCAAACTGAAGGGTCTAGAGGTTTTAGTTTATTAAGTTTGCTAACCAGTTCTCATTGTATTTTTCAGCTACCTTTTTATAGATTCTGCTGCTGAGTTCTTCAGGCTCTCTCAGAGCTTTTTAAACTGCCATTGTAATCAGCAAAGCCTTGGTATTCAGTGTCACAGTATTAGTATGTTACTTTTTGTTTATTGTTTATGTTATTCATAATTTTTATAGTGTATCAGTTCAAATTAGCTTCATTTACTATTTCAGTTTTCCTTTTTAAAATATACAGAGCAATTTTTTCTCCTTGATCCTTTTTTAAATGCTGCTGTAATTCTTTGGTTCCATAGTAATAATGGACTTAATGTAAATTAGTTTTATATAGAGATAGGCTATATTAATATGAAATATATTACTGTTATAATGATAACTACTGGTCAAATGTTTATCTAACCAGTTTAAGATTACAATTTGAGGCCAAATTAATAATGCAACTAAAATTTAACAGGCATGAGCCACAGTCATAAGTTGAGCCAGAAATACTAATTCAAAGCTAAAAAAAAAAGCAGCCAAACTAGCAATTTTAGTGCACATAATCAGAAATTGTCTGGTTTTGTTGCAGCATGACCCATAAATATATATATATATATATATACTATTATATCTTTTACGCCTTTAGGATATCACACTTTCTTTTACACCTTGAATATCAAATTCTTTACACCTTTCAAATATTGCTGGATTTATTATTTAGACCATCACATTAGAAATTAGTTTATATCGCGAGCTTTTCTACACCACAAAGACAATTTATTAGCAAGATTAGAAATAATGGGTCTTACCTTGACTTTCTTTCCCTACTGAATACAAAATTTCTACTTCATTTGCGTCTAATACAAATAACTCTGATCCTGTCACCTGATACTATTTACAAAGCATGGAAGGTACAGAATTGCAATATTATTTTGATAAAATTGCTTTGTCAAGATAAATAATAATATCACCATCAGTGTGGCCCCCCAACCTTCAGACTTGGATGTTGGTTCTTTGCAAAGAAAAAGAAACCACAATTTTGGCTCGGATCTGCTATGCTAGTACCACAATACTAGATGGATTGTTTTCTTATGGGTCAGTGAGCTAAAACTACGGCTAACCAAGGCTTGGCAATAAACGGCCATGTAATTTACGCGAGTATATTGCGAATTTTTTTATTGTCCACGAAAAGTTAATAGTGTAATTCCGGAAAACGTAAATACAAAGCAAAACTGGGCAAATGTATGGATGAATTGCGTCTAGAGATTTTTGGTCAAAACATTAGCGAGGGCATGTTTACTGCTTCCAGTTATTCCGACTATTAAAATATTTCTAAGTGAAATCGAAAATATGAAATTGATATGAATCCTTTAACGGTTAGTCATGTGAACTATATAACCCTTGAATTACGATGGAGGACTAATCGGGTGCACTGCCTGCAAGTTTAATTATTTTTTTCTTGCAAGTCAAAAATCTGACCTTGATGAAAGCCAAAACTTGACCATTTTGGCAGAACCGACGCTGTGCGGTTTTTGTTTATCCCAAGAGTAGACAGCCGTTTTATGGTATATACAAGTCCGGCGCGCGTTTACCAACAAATTTTGCAACGTTTCGCGCTGCCTCATTTAATAGCCTTTCAGTTCCAAAAGCCTTGTCACCCAATCCTCTTTTTTAAAGATGACATAATCGCATACTCTAATGTTCCGATTATTGGCGTATTATATTTATCACAAATTTCTCTTAACAAACTAGATTCAAGATTTAATTATAGACACAACTGTGTGTTTCATACTCGTTATGATTCGGATAAAAATGTGCAATTTTTATGGATCTGTTGTCGATCAAGCTTGCAGAAATAATACAGTAAAAATAACCACACCCTGTTGTGTGGATGAAAATTGCGGATAAGTAAGATCCGAATACAGCCGGAATTTAATTGAAAAACATGACAATTATGTGGACTGAGTAATATTACCTTTACTAGATCTGATCGGAAAAAAAAATATCAAATTGCATTTTATTTTTAAAATTGGCGGGTTAAAGATTTACCCGGAGGATCATTGTCCGTATGGCCTTTGTTTGTGATTGTTAGAACTGAAATATACTTGGCGAATTCCGGGGAAAAAGGACAGAGTTCATAAATAACACAATAATTATACATAAAAGAGATGGGGTACGTGAAATTTGAGTAACGACCCCCAACATATCATTAGTAATGTTGCCTTGGCCGTAAGATAAGATGATCAACCGTTCAGCACGATTTTGGTTATGGTGGTTGAATGATATCAGGAAATGATCGTTGGCAGTGGCAAAAAATACGCAAGATTCCGACAGTTTCCTGTCTACTTGTATGTTCTGCTTGTTCCTTATTCACTTCTTCTTGGTATTCTTTCTTCTATTGTTGCGATGCATGTATAATCCATAAATGTCAATTACACAAAGCCCTTCTTTCTTTTGATAATCAATTGACAGGTGTGTGTGTGTGCGAATACTATGTTAAGTAGTTCATTTTGAAACGAACCTTCCAAGGTCCAGATGGATGTTGTGTAATGATTGTTGACAGGGAAAGTAATTTGGGGGAAAAAGCTTTGTCCATGTCACATGTGATGTGCGTGTAAGCATATCAGTGATAAGTTGGAATAGTTAACTGTATATGTAATATATATTTGATACTGTAAAATATTTATATGTGTGATACTTATCAATAGTCGTCATACCAAAACCATTCCCAACAAGGAAGGTTATAGAAAAAAAAACTCATTCACTTATTAAGCTGTGGCACATATCCCTTCCAAGATGAACGCTTCCTTTGTGTGGCTGGAAACAGGAGAATCAACTATGGAGTCTGTAAGTAGCCAAGATTGACAAAAGGTATAGGATCTCACATGTGTGGCAATTAATTAAATTGTTCGTCTCGTTTACAATCCAACAGTCGATTTTCACGCATCGGTTACATCTCCTAAAATCAACACCAATTACCATGCCGTCTTTACATTTGAATGTTGTGGCTGATGAAACCTGATACAAAGAAAATGAGTCATCGCCGGAAGCCCCATTGTGACATTCATGCATTGTGGCGGCAGGAATTAAATGAGTCAGGAATCAGGTGAGCATGGTCATTGGTGGGGTATTAATAATTGTAAATATTAGAATTTAATTATAATGAAGTGTGGCTTGTAATTATGGTATGGATGTAACCGTATGTATGTGTGTGTCTCGGCCGTGCGTGTCATTGAGGAGGGGAAATGTAAGGGGACACTTAAACTTTAAATGCCGACACTTTATTCAATTCATTATTTGTTGATGCGTTTTATTACGGTTACTCAATTACAGCTTGTATTTTATTGTCATGTAGTCCGCCATCATCTTTATCATCACCATCACCATCAATATTACTAAAATTACACTCGGTATCCCAACTTGGTGGAATATTGCTGGATATAGCTTGCACATCGTTTTTTTTGCTTATTGTTGTATATATCCGTAGTTTGTCGGTCATGGTAAGCAATATGTTGCAAACATATTAAATGCAGAATATGGTTAATGACTCGATCGTGATAAGTGGGTGGAAAAAATGGAAATGTGCATAATTGGTTTGATACATTACAGTAATTACCTGTTATTGACTACTTGATCGTTTTCTTTTTTCCTTTTTCTTACCTGTTATCCAAGCATACTGTAATTACAATTACCAATTCGGTGCACAGGAGATATCCGTTACAGGTCATTCTAATCGGACAATCGGCGGAAAGGGAAAAAAAAATAAAGAGGGCAAAAAAAGATGATTAAAACTCATATCCCCCCCCCCTTTTTTTTTCTTGCAAGTTTTTCGGAACATTTTTTTATCAGAGTTGAACAATACAAAGTTATTCTGTCGTACATGAACTGGGTTTAACCAAAATATCGACAAATGGAAATAGATGTAGTAATTTGAAATGTTGGGAAAACAAGTGTTTACATGTCGAATAATTAGATGATAGCTCAATTTATCCGCAGATATCCCCGACCGCCTTTCTCAGCCCCCCTTCTTCACATGTCTGATACTCCCCAACAAACGCACACTTGGAATGTCTTATTTCCAATCAAATTCATACGCAGTTTTCGTCCATAAACAGGAATCGAATTTATACAGTGATAATTTAATTGGGGGGAGTGTGACAGGGACGAGTGAATTGAAAATTGAAGAGTGACAACATATAAAAGGTATTACTATTACATAACATCTTTTTGTTAAATGACTTTACTAATTTGTGTCAGATACTACCAACCATGTGGAAATTACCTCATGAACAACAACAATAACAACAGCAACAGCAACGACGACAACAACAGCAACGACGACAACAACAGCAACAGCAACAACACCATCATCTTTTTAACTTGTATCTAATTCGCCATTTATTGGCGTTAGATGTTTATTCAATGTATTCAAACGGGTGCCAATTCGCTTCAGCTCCTTTTCTCTCCCCTTTCCCACCCAAAAGAAAAGGATGCTCGATGCCACAATGTCTCATATTTTACTGCGCACATTGACAAACTTGGTTTTTATCTTATCGTCCCCAAGGATCGACAAACATGCAAGATGTGCATCATTCATTCTACTGCGGAAATTGAAATAGTTTAGCGGAACGTGAATAGAGTTTGAAAAAGGATGACGAAAAGTAGCTTGCGTATGCACGTTAGACAAGCCTTCAATTATTGTTGCTCTATCCATTCATATAACTTTCCTTATTCATTGTTGTTTACCCCCCCCCCGATTATAGTGATCGTTACATCATCTGCATAGAGCTGAGGGGAAAGTGCCGAGGGATTGTCGATGTTTAGCGCAAGTTTTCGGTGAGATGACACAAGTTTAGATAAACTTATGAACTCTATATGATCATGTGGGATGAGAACAGGAGAGTATATATTATAATATTGAACACAATATGATAAAACAATGCAGTACATACAGTATTTACAATGACACAGTTGACTTTTTTACTGGACATATAATATACTTTTGTTAATTTGTCTAGGGATTCTACACAGTCCTTTTTCAGCAAGTCGTTTTCTCAGTATTGATGACAACAACCAATGCAAATCCTCCATGCAATTCACTCTGCATTTCTTCTCCCCCCCCAACCTCCACCAACCTCTCCAAACAAGTGACACTTGGCGATACCTCAGCGGATGAACTTTCGTTGAATACGCTCATCACACGTTTAAGCGTACACATGGACGTTACCCGGCCATGTATTAATAGTAAACATTAAATTATATGCATAAATTAATTTACATTCCATAAAGACGTTCTGTATACCACAGAAACGTAGTCGTCGTTGCTTGGTCGGATAAAAAAACTGGTCACTTTAATATTGGCTGGTTGCTTTATTTGATTTTTACTGGGGCGAGTATTATTCGCTAACAAAAAAAGAATGTCATTGAATAAAGTTCTTTATATTTTCATACCAGATACGTGTTGAGTACTAAAAACGTGGCCTTGTTTCCCGTAGATTACTTACCATTGTTGGGGTTATCTTATCAAACCTCGCATCAATAAACAGTTTAGTTTAAAACGTATATATTTCAGTATTGTCACCTCTACAACATTGAATTTACATGTCACATAAATAATAGGATTTATGTATAATTGTTGCTCGGAATTTGAACTCCAGTATAAATAATAATAATAATACTAATAGTAATAGTAATAGTAATAACAACAACTGATAACGATAACAGTTTTAAAGTACTTTATTTGTATTGAGAATACATGTTGTATTCATTTACTGCAAAGTTCATTGTGAATTAAGCTATATACAGTTTGTCACATCCCCCGCTTTGTTGTCACTAGACAATGTGACAAGAAATTTGAAAGAAAAATTGTCAAAAGGGGTGTTGCTACTCATTCAAAAAATCCCTTCCCTCTCCTTTGTCACCATCGACATTGATATCCATCTATGGTAAAATATTAAGATACTTTTCTTATCATACAATCAGCCGCAAACATGCATGAAATGTCAACAAACCAGCGTCAATTTTTGTGGCGCAACTGTCAAATAAATTGACGCAGTATGGATGAGATGAAATAAATCATTCGATCGTGCAGACGTATATATTTTATTACAGTACAGTATTACTTTATTTACTCACCTTATCGTAAAACTACTCATTGCCTTACTACCTTTTTATTTTTTTACCTCTGTACCTTATTCCCCATCGCCTTATCACTCATTATTTATCCTTGTCTATTACCAGTCAATCTCCCGTCCAATGTTTATCTCTTTCCCCCATCGACTCGAGCTCATAGTCTGCACATTCCCTTATATCGTTTGGTATTGGTGTGTTTGAGAACATCCGCAGTTGTCAATATATGCACCTCTCCTGAGAGACAGTCGCACACATGTCTCAGTTGACCCGAGGCGTAGCAAAAACGAGATCACAAAGAAATTACACCACCCGAAACAATATACCCAGACATTACATTATAGTTAGTTTAAATCTTACGTTTTTTATGTCATATAACGATATCTAGAATGTATCGAGACGTTCGCAACGACAAAATTAGTCATATATTCTTTGATTTTCGAATGTTGAACTGCCCTGAACCAATATTACATTACCGTATATATTGTGTCATTGTTTATATGACAGAAAAAGGTCTCTTGCCCATTATTGCTGCGCCATGTGATATGTGTAGGTGATTGTGAGATATTTTACTAACTGATATAACAGTGATTTAGTATAAAATAACTGTACGCTTATGCAAAATGCAATAGTAAATATACATGAAAAGATACATAAACAAAATATGCCGTATTGATTTGTGTGTATATTTGGATGATAATGTAGAAAAGTATACAGACGGATTATTCAGAACATTGCACAAAAATTAACACATAAATACAGCCCAGAGAGGAGAGTGTCTTGAAGGAAGCTTTCGAGCTAAGACGATTGAAATCTTTAACGCTCTATTCAAGAAAATTCCTCCCTTCTTCTCAAAAGCGAACTCATAGAGTTCGCTTACCAGTAATAACTATAATAAAGTATCAGAACCTTGTCAAAACCCTAATACAAAAACGTTTAAAAAGACCTTCTGGTTTATTCCATTTTCAGTATAAAGACTCGACAACGCACGCTCAAACAGCCGAAAAAAACTCCTATTACTATTCTTCTCTCACGAAAAAAAACGAAACCTTTCGCTCCACTTTCCTCTCGGTCACCTATCACCACGTCTTACTTTTCTTTCTCTCCAACTACTTCACCCGTCACTTTTATGTCTGATCAATATCAGAACATCTGCTTCGACGACACGCTTTCGATGAGTAGCCACTCTAACGACAACTACGGCATAACTAACGAACCTCAGCAACACACCGAATCTCCCTTTGCCTCTCCGCTGGAGCATGACCAAGCATATCATTTAAGTCCATACACTCCATATACGCCATTTCTCCCTACCACAACTCCAACTGCGACGCCTCGCATAAGCGGTCTTCCCCTCGGATCAAATTTATCTGACTATCCACAATTTCAGGACTTTGGCATTTTCGGTGGCGACGACGAAACGATTGTTCCTCAACCAACAGAAAACCTAATATACGAACAACCCGGGGTTACGTCACCAGCTAGTGTTCGACCCAGCCCACTCACTATCATTACCACACCAATAAGAACTCAACATACTGATAATAACAACAACAACAGCAATAACAACACAGTCGGTAGTGAACTTTTGGGAATCTATTCGTCGCCTGCATTAACGACGACGTTAAACACACCGGTAACCGAATTCATACCTTGCACACCCGCTTGCCCTCCTATAGCTTCCGTATACAATACACCGTTATTTTCAGTCTTGAATACCCCTGCTATACCGCAAACACCTTACTTTGACAACACCCCCCTCTGGGAACCAAGTCCGGTATTCTCAAACGTCGCTACTCCAATTTCTGTACGCATTGACAATCATTTACCACCAAGCGTACCAAGCAGCTATCCTCAAGAAATCGACTGGTCTATAACCGAAGATTCGTTCAAACCAGAAATAGAATTACAATTTGCCAAACTCGAAAGTATCACCTACAGCGAAGATCAACCTAATTTCGTGGTGATGTCGAACATATTACCAGACCTCGATTCAGCAAAATGCTCCCCTGAAGTTCAAAGCACCATCGACTCTGGTTCCGAATCAACGATAACTACTCAAGTCGGCGATAATAATGTCGGACAAGCACAAACAAACGCTCGCTCCACAACACCAAGACCAATCCGACCTCGTCCTCCAGATGACGAAGACTCTCAAAATCAAATGAAACGTCATAAGAATGACATGGAAGAGGATGATGATGACACTGGCACAGGAGAAAAGAAACAGTTTGCTTGTTCCAAGTGTGATAAACGATTCAGCCGAAAGTTTAATATGCAGACGCACGAACTAACGCACGACACAAATCGAATCAAACCGTTTGCTTGCGAACATCCGGGCTGTGCATCTAGATTCACAAGAAAGCATGACTTGAAACGGCACGTCAACGGTATACATAAGGGGGAGAAGGTGCATTTGTGTACGGCTTGCAAAAAGCCTTTTAGTAGAAAAGACGCATGGAAGAGGCATCAAAGCGGTTGTACCAGGTAAATAGACAAATTGGATTGGACTTTTTAATTATGGTTTAGCCATAAGAAACAAGAAATATATGAATATAAAGATTAGTTTGAGATTTTAGGAAAAAAAAATGAGTTTAATGTATATGCTCAATGTAAGTCTTATTTTATATTGTAACAGTAAATAAATAGGCAAATGAAACAAATTACTTTGATGGAAAAAGGCGCAAAATCATTCCTAATCCCGATAACTCGTTGACGAAACCCTGGTCCATGATGGTATACATATTCTTTTTTATTGTTGTTTCATAGTCATGGGGGAAAGAGAGAGATAGAATCTCGACTATATACCTCGTAACTATGGAATATAAAAACACACAAAAAAAAGAGAAAAAACATTAAAACCGGATTAAGCGGATGTGGGCTTTCTCACCCACCCTATATTGGGGAAGGGGAGGAAACTCTTTCCCGTGGCAAAAAAGAAGTCTACGTTGGCTATCTTAAGAATTTCGATGATGAAAATAATAAATAATCATAATAAAAAAAAAGACATGTAACTTTGCGATGTAAGTTTCTTTCTTCCTTTTTAGACAAGCATCGCAAGGATATCTTTAACGTTTTTATTAGAAAAGAGAGAATTACATGAAATTACAAGATAGAGTAGTAGTTATTTTTTTACATTCGTTTTCTTTTCTCTGATCACCAATATATAATCCCTTTCATTTTCGGTACTGAAAAGGACTTTGACTAGTATTTGTAATTTGTACAAAAGCGATTGGGATCATTTTTTATTATTCACATCTTATTATTGTATTTCATACCAAAGAAAAAAGGAAAGAACAAAAAAAAAAAGAACTTTTTTGCTTTCATTTTCGATCATGTATCGCACACTTTATTATAACTGTATTTGATCATTGCAATCATTGATTCGATAAAACTTAGATTGATGTCTTTATAAAATAAAACAAGAACACATCATCGTTTGGTTGCTTATAGAATTACTATCGGAAAAGGGGTTGGGGGAGTGGAGAGGGGCGGATAATAATTTGTCATATCGAATAATACAATTCACATAATGGAACGAATCACTATTATCTCTCATTGAAATGCATGAATGAAATCGGTAATCCTAAGAATCTTGGCAAGTGATCAACAAATGCGTTTTTATTCCAAAGCAAGAAGTCTTGGATTTCTTCGTACGAACCACGAGTGTCCATATTAAATTCTCTATTAACCTAAATTCCAATATCTATAGACCATATAACCGAGGTTAGCATACAGGACACAATGCGTGACGGTCTGGCAAAGTCACATATTTACCTGACTCTGAAATCATCACTACAATAAGATGGATAAACAATCGCACAATAAGATGGTGATATTAGGCAAACAATCGCGCACATAACAATTCATGCTTTATAAGTACAACAAAAGTGACTCACTCACCTGCAACTGATAAATCCGGGCTCTGTGGGAGAGGCCGCGACGCATCGGACAAGTCCAGCGTGACCTATGCAGAACAAATCACATAAATAGGTTTGCATACAGAGTTAACAATGAGAGACGGCAAGCATCTGATAGCTCGTTTACCTGGTAATCTCTTTAGCAAAGTGCCGGTTCGCGAATCCCAACATACGATTGTGTTGTTGGATTCATCACAAGACAAGACAAAATCCTCGTTATAGGTGAACGTTGTTTGTAAGGTGTTGTTCTATATAAATCGACAAGCTTAATTAGTATCAAATATTTCACTCACTATAAAGCTATATAGAGGTGCAATCTCTTCTCTCATGCGTGTTAGCTCACCTTTTGCGCGGCCCCATCGTATGTAATTAAACACCGTCCGCTGGTAGCTTCCCACAACTTGCATAGCGAATCTCGGCCCCCGCTCAGAACGTATTTTCCATTTTTTGAAAATCTCACACTCGATACAGCCGATCCTCCATGAGCCTGTTCTATCGTCCGGATACATCGGCCAGTAACCACATCCCAGATCTTAATACTGCCATCTAAAGAACTGGTTATGAATTGAGACCCATTGTAAGAGAAGCGAACCTGTGTGTGTGTGTGTGGGGGGGGGGGAATAGAACGGAAAATATATACAAGAAATTGAGAATGTTGTTATGAGAGTGGATGTCAACCCGGAAATAGTCCAAAAACTCGTACAAACATAAACGTGAAAAATGAATATATAAACTTAACTCGTGTTATTCCACCATGGTGCAAGTCATTCTGATTCGTAGAAGCAGTATAGCAGTTGAACGACTTTACATCGTATACTCTAATTGACTCATCATCAGTGCCTGCACAAAAGATACGACCGAGTGAGCTTTTCAATATCACCAAAAAATAATATTAAAACAACTGTAATTATATCAATCTCCTTTCTTAAAGATGCCCCCATCCAATAATTGCCATACCAGCTAATATAAAATCTCCCGACGGATGAAATGCTATTGATCGTACTATATGAGTATCCTATATAATCCAGTAGAACAGGTTAATTGATTATAAAAAAATAACCAGGAACGTATCGATAATTATTAATGTAGATTACTAAACCTGAAGATACCGGAACGATCGTTTAACACCCGGCTTGGATAGGTCAAATAATTTTATGCTTTGGTCGTCGGAACATGATGCGAGTACCAACCCATTCGGGTGGAAAGAAAGATCGTTAACTGGCTATCTTGGACAAATACCAGACGATTAATTATTTTTCTGTATGACCAGTGTAGAAATCACGGATAAATCTGTTATGACAAGAGGCCCGTTCTTACAGCAAGATGATCATATAAAGTTCTAATGACGGGACGATCTTCGTCTGACCGACTATTCATCTTACTTGTATCAAGAACTTTTAATGATGCATCGGCTGAACCCGTTGCCGCATATTTTCCTGTTTTTCAAACGTAAAAAATCGTCAGCTCCATGAAACCTCTTGTAATCCGTATTGATCATATATGCAAGAGACGAAAAGAGAACACGCATTTACCGTCTCCACTGAAAATGGCACACGTGGAAGCAGCTCGATGAGTGGTCATATACCACGTTGAATAATTTGGCGCTTCTTTGGGTTCTGAAAATAAAATCAGACTTAATAAACGAACCAACTGCAGATTTGCTTGTTCGTTAATTACAAAGATTAATTACCGAGAGTATTGTCGGGGTCAATATTACTGATGTATTTTGAATGATGCGTTATGGTACCGTCTTCTCCCTCAGCAGCCTTCTGCACATCTGCTTCGTCATCGTCTAGAACATCATCGTCAATGACTTCGCATGGACGCACCTCATCTCCTTCATCTACATAATAGCCAACACAATTTACATTCGTTAATACCCCACAAGACATTTCGGTAAACACTCCCGTTATGATTCCATTCGCTCCCCCTTCCTTCAAACATCTTTCCTAACCTTGTTCTTTGGCTATGTAAAGCAACTCGGCCAATCTCGAACTAGGTGTCAGATCAACCGGGTTGCTTGTCTGTTCAGCAACTATCTGTGCCAAGTGAGTAAAGCCATAAACACACAATTGGCTTTTATCACGAATGTAAAAAAGAAAAAAAAAAAAAAGTCATATTTTGAACAAATAATCATTTAATATTAACGAATGCAGAAATTTTCTCTTTCGAAAAGATGGGGGGACGGAATACGAATTTGAAAGTCTGGAAAGGACATATATGATAATGATTAAAGTCGATAACGATAACGAAAATGAAAGACAATAGCGAGTCAATGGCCATTGCAAAGGAATATTAGAGACAGAATACCGAGTAAGGCGAATGCGTATGATAATGCTAATATTTTGTTGCCATTATTTTTTTATTGTCGACATAAATTTGGTCTCTTCTATAAACCAATCCCAGAAGCTTTGTTCAAGACACTAATAGCCAACGACTCGATCAGTAGACAATCAAGAAGGGACGATAAATAGAAAGCAATATATGATCTTTATTCAGTTATAATGCAATGACATACGCGACCCTGAACCAGTTACATCAAATAACGATAAATAGAATCCCGTTCCCACCGCGGCTGAGTCCAGAACTTATCCTAAGTTGGAGGTCTCAACAGAAAACGTTATCCTAAAACTCCTGACCTTACGATGAGTGGAATGACTTCCTCTTGTGGTAAAGTTGGTGGTTCCATCGTGCAAGATCTGGTTGATCGCACCGATGGAGATTTATATGTGACGTCATCGTCTTCATATTGGTCTCTTAAACGGACATTGATCAATCCCAGAAGAGTATCTACTACCACTTTTCATGGGCAAATTCGCTTAAATGGCATTTCAGTTAATTGAATCTGTAACATACATTTGGTGAGAATGTAGGAAGCATTCGTTGTAAGGAGATTGATTGGTAACCGATCTCTCCTTCGACAGCCTCTACTTTCCTTGAATACAAATGTTTTCATTATTTAATTAAAATTTTATTCTATTATTATTAACAGACATGAATGCGCGTGAAGGTGATTTCTCGAGTCTGAAAACGAGTCAATCAGCAAATAATGTTGATTTACCAAACCATTTAATCTATCGCTTGAAATAGATATATGCTTGGTTAGCTACAAAATCTTTTGTATGCTTGAACGCGAGTCATTTGAAATTCGTACTTGGGAAGATAGTTGCAAGTGCTTTCCAATGCAGGTGTCTGACCTTGAAAGCACGGCTTCCGATTATTTATTATCAGTCATGCATAATGTGATATCTCTATAAAAACTTGCGCGAACGGAGAAAGTACAATATTCTAAATAAACTTTGACAATGAACTAATTAAATAAGTTGAATGATTAATTGGCCGGCACACGAGAGATATTAAATATAATACACTATGGTTTGGTTACATCTGCGAATATATGATTAAATGCGCTCAGTATTATTTAACCGATAGAATCTTCAATTGAACAGATAGTAACTTACCCTTGGCCATTCTTTATTCAGTAAGTCTCTAAGATCGTCCGGTATGACTGGCAATTTGTTGGTAGTATCATCCTGTGTTGAACTTCCTTCACCATTTTCAGGTTGTTTATTGAGTCTCTTTCTAAGTCCTTGATACGTTTCTTCCTGCTCTGATTCTCCCTGTTCCATCCGCTTGGCATCAATAGCTGCTATCATTCTTTGGAACTGATAAAACAACATCTCAGCTTGCTTCAAAGTATCTTCCAGGTTAATGTCCATAGAAAGATCATTTATATATTTCAAGATTTCATCAAAGTTAGGTAAATACTCGATTATCACTCGGCTATGTTTTTCAAGGATGGCAAGAGCCACAAATAAATGAAATTGTCCAGTCAAATAATCAGACCAGAGTACTTCCCATAGCCGAGCGACGTCATCCCAACTGAATTCTCGTTTGAACCAGATAAGCATCCAGCGGAAGCAACAGAATAGGTTGAGGGATTCCGTTTTCTCTATAGGACGTATATAACAGTTGTTAGCAAACCGCGTATGGAATGTTGTAATTACATAATGTAAATGTACCACTAACGTAAATGCTTATAGAATGCGGGATCCATGAATTGTATTAGGTGATTTAATGTCAACAGCTGTCTCCGCATTCCAGTTTGATCCTCATAAAAGTTGTATTTCTAATAGGAATACATAAATGTCAGACAATGTGGCTAAAACCTGCATTAATAAAATGAGAACTACATACCATACGATCCATAAAACCGACAAATGCCCAAAATGCCGTTACTTCGTCATTCATTACCGCAAACAATGGAGCAAGCAAGTCGCTCATACCCTGTACATATCCTGAACAGCAATAACATAATTATAGTTTGAGTTTGCACAGATTACTCCGTAAATATAAAATAAAGACACAATCACTAGAAGTATCTTACCCAAATCTTTGTTATAAAAATTATACGTCATCAATATATCCTTCATTAGCTCCAGGTTCTTATTTGTTAAGTTCGACGACGAGCCAGCTAATGGATCTGGATGAGGCATATCCTCACTTTTGAAAAACGACACGCTTCTATCCGTTCTAATAACATCCTTCTCTAAAGTAAAGTCGACTGTTAATGTTGTTGCATTATCCACACATCGAACTGCCCACTGCCAATTCGCTAACACACCTATACGGACTTTGTGATCCTGGAATACTGCGCCAGCTTGTACTTCCGTAGAAGACCACCATTCACTTTTGAGAGCAAAATATTCTTGTCTTATTTGGAAAGAATTAGAATGTCGGTATTAGTAGAATATGAGAACGAGATTGCATTTTGCGTAAACATTTTTATACCTCTTCGCCTCTAAGATGTTTGCCCTTTCCACCTCACTTGAATCCCAAGGGTACACATTCAATAGGAATTTCCACACATCTGTGCGTATGTCCTCTTCAATTCCCTGCGTGCAAGTTGATTTTGAGTTCAACAGTCCTAGCTAACTTGCAGGTTAGACCAAAAAAAGAGAATCACTCACCCCTCGAAATATAGCTTGTCTGACATCTACTGCTTCAACCTTAAGCCTTCCTTCAGTATCAAAGAACGAGAACCAATTTTCAGCGCTCAGTGGAGTCGTGCGGGTATCCCGTATGGGCGGTAAACTTGTTTTACTCTGTACAAATATCCCGTTCAATAGGTTAATCAGAATAGAGTATCGAGTCAAAGTCGATAGCATACTTACGCTCAATATCTCAAAAGATCCTAACTCGGTGTCCTCCTCAAAATGTACGCTGCCGCCCTCCTCGATAGGTTTGTATAAAGGTATCCATGTTTTATCATTTTGAGACTCCGCTTCCTCAGCCACTCTTGCTGCCCATTTGGCTAAATAAACCCTTCCTGCATCATATTCATCTATAACTACCCGAGCATTTTCTGATTGAGCAATGTTATTCAATGCTGGTGGTAAATGAGGTAGAATGGGACGTGCCAATGGATGTTCGAGAATAGTAGCTAGTATTGGAAAGTTGGAAATTTGGATATACGGTTGATGTGTGGTTAATATGTTATTGATGGTCGTAATTGACACTGTAATATCGTCTTACCTGCTGCATCGCGTGAGAATCTAGCAACTTTTGAAAATCTTTCCATGACATTCCATCGAATCTCCTTGACAGCCTAAACGGATGAGAAGACAGATTAATGTAAAACGATAAAGAGACAAATATCCCGGGTAACCTTAAAAAAAAAAGAGAATATTCCTAAAACTTACAGATACCAAAGGATCCATTTGCACAGACAATGGTCTTTGTCTAGATGTCCCTTGCATCACTCTTGCCGAAGGCTTCGCTTCGGTTGCCGGAGGACTGTGATTTACAAGATCCTCAGTCGTTGGATTAACAAGGAGTAAATTGGGTTCAACCACAGAGCTATTCTTAATCCATACATAAGACAAATTAGATAATACGGTCATACTGCTTATGAGTATCATGCATACTGTATGCATAATAGAAACACCTTACCTCACAATAACGGCTACTTTCCCGAGCCACTTGATTAGTTCATCGCCACCCCAATGAGCCACCGTACTGTCTTCTTCATCCTCCTCTGCGAATTCACCATTTTTCTGACGATTGTTCTGTCTCTGAAGCCTAGTGCTCCGACTTTCGTCATCGTGGAAATATAGTGCAGGTAAAGTTATCCCACCTACAAGATTTATCACCACTGATCCATACCATTGCTGAAATTTTGGCGGTTTAACAATAATAGAATAAATCGAATTGATCGGTATCGATATAGCATATTGTGTCTCTGCTGTTGGTACGGAAGCTGTTGTTGCCGTCGGTGGAGGCGCAATGAGTATTGTGGCTGTTAAACGTTAATTTAAATAATCAGTACCATTCCGCAGAAACTATAAACTTTTTTAGAAGCTTCATAAATACGGATCGTACATCCAAGCCCGTGATCTTCTTCTCCTCCTGCCTCTATCCATGAACTCTCATCGTCATCTAGTTCTCTGTCCGATCCGTCCTCGACCTGCACATAGGATTCCAATTCATCCGCTGATAGCAACGATTCTGGTGTCCAAGCGAGGAGAAAGCTATTTGGCGACTGAAGAAGGTTTGAGATAATGAAGAAAACGCAATGTGAACAAATCTGTTTTGAATAGTTCTTGATCAAAGATTTACTGTTGTGGGGATACTACTGTTCTATCGTTCTCTTGGTTTAAGTAGGCAAGAAAGTAACATTAGACAATCAGAATTTACCCTCTCCACAATACAAAGAAATCCTGGAATGTTATCTTCGCTGTCACTTTTAGGGTGAACGTAAACTTTGCTTTTCGAATATAGAAGACGAACTTGCACGGGTTCTTCACTAGCTGTCTGCTGTAAAGACTCGCCATTTTCGTCAGCCTAATGAAGACAAGGGTGTAAACATGAGCCAAGAAAAGTAAGCGCACAAAGTCGTACATACAGTAAGGCTTGACATTTGCAAGACGAGTTCCTCAGCAGGCGACAGTGATCCTGGTGAACCACCGCCCATTTCAAGAATACTTGATATTAATTGAACGTGTCTTCAGTTTTTAGGTTGTAATATATATATATATATATAATTATAGAAATTCTAGGGCTGACTTTCCAGCCAAGAAAGGCTTGCGTAAAGTATACGTAATAGTAGAGTAAATGTCAAGCATGTGATTGAATTGTAATGGTGCACTTGTTCTTTATTAAGCCATTTCGATTTAAGTGAATATATAAGTTAATGTAATAGCTAATGAGTACTAATTTTTACCAAGTAAGTAAATAAATAAATATACTTAAATCGATGTAAAGAATCTAACTTCACCAAACGACTATAGCAACAGCACGTTGTGCAATCTTATTCTTGTCAGATGCTTTGGCGTCAACATTCACAATGAAAAGCAGATCGCTTCGATCGCTATTAAGATATACGGGAAGCGATACACTGTCTTCTTTAAGTGCGGCAACATCAGTCTTGAGAACCCAGCGGATTTGAGTAAGTTCGAGTTTTGTTAATGGAGCAGACGTCAATTGAAGCGCATTATCCCATTTAGCACCCTCGAGTTTAAGGCCTGAGCAGAAGGAAAAAGTTGGATCAATAGTAGTTCAAACAGCGAGAGCTACAAAACTATCACACTTACCAGATACAGCAAATGCGTCAGCATCCCCATGTTTATTTATGTCAACTTCTAGACGCAATTCTTCAAGTGACCATTGATGTTTCTGGGCCACTGCCTGGCGAGTAGCCGTGATGAAGGCTTCGGGCATAAACAAACCGCCGAGCCATACATCTAAATATTGGAAGTCAGTTTCACGGGTAATGGATTCAAGTTGTTGGAGACGACTCTTGAGATCGGCAATCCAATGATTAAGAGAAATAGTCTTTGGTATCTTGTACTTGCACCAATGATCAGGGATTATACCTAACAGTTCACAGAATGGTATGCGTATTAGCAAGCAGAAAGCACAAGATGGTACAGCAAACTTTGTCATTACTCACCCTTAGTCAAACAACCCAACAGCATACGCAAATGATTCGTCTGT